GTTTCAGTATCATGACAAACCTCCTCATCTCTGAAATACCTGGTTCTCTCAAGGTAAAACTTTTGATGTAATTATCAAGTATCCATCAATCTAAAATACTTCTCTTTTTACATTGTATTGGGCTAGAATTTTTGTTACTTATAAAATATGAACCTTAAAATCAAGTAATTATATACTCTTTGATTTTGGCCCAGTTTATCACAGGAAAATAGCATACCTATAATCTCAAGTTTTTGTCATCTGCTATGCTCCTAAAAAGCCCTAGATACACAGAAGTTTATTCTGTATATATTCTGAGTATATTTATATATAATAAAATAAATCCAGTATTTATGGAATATCTTCACACACTCTTCTGATATGCCCTGCATATTTTAAAGAGTTTAAAGTGATCTTAAAACCAATGAACCTGTAAAACAAATCTCTGTCATGTAGCTAGAGTGTCAAAACAAAGAAATATCTCTAGAATTGCACCTACCCAGAATAGTCTTAAAGAGATTTAAAATCCTTTAATTATATGTGGAGTCCTTCTGGGGAATCATGAATTATAACTTTTTTTGGATTTGTAACAAAAAATGAATATATAAATGTACAACACATAGGAAAATAAGCTATTTTCCTGAAGTCTTAAGTCATCAGAAAAAGACAAGACGGATTTTTAAAGAATCGTTCATATCTTGTTTTCTTTGATTTGATAGTGTTCTTTTAAAGAGATTGAAAAAGACTAGAATTCATTACAAGTCCTTAATTGCCAGTTTCTCCACAAAATAGATGTTTATGTGCAGGCTTCAGAATAGCTACCATTCATTTGAGGGAGATCTTGTACAGCCGAAGTTTAAATAAACAGCAATGTTTTACTAAGTTTGCAAAAGCGTAATTAGTCCTAGAGGCACAATATTTTTAAGCGTCAAACACTTGTTCTCCAGCTGTACTATTTGGATCTGTAGTTTCAGAAGCGGCTTATAGCCATTTCATTGAAGTCTAAGGCTTTTCATGACTGACAAGCACTTTGACTATGTGTGTGCTCACAGAAACAGAACAATACATTGCCACGGCTTCTTTGATAGAGGCATCTGCTACCTTTATTTTTTTAGTTCAGTAGTGCATATAAACACTTCAAAATGGATTCCATTGGGACCCAGTAGCATTAATTTGTGTTTTTTCTGTCATGCAATTGTATTAGAGAAATGAAATAACTGATGGGGAATTCACAGGTGGGCAGAAATGGTAGTTTAAACAGATCTTTCCTACAATACTATGCTACAGTCTACAGGGGATCACAGCATTCATTTCTCTTCTTTCGAACAATACCCTGGTGGAAATCATTTTGAAGTATTCAAAGGTTTTTGTTTTTAAGTAGCAGATGGTTTTTATTTCTTTCATGTACATACTAAATAACAAAGACAGCATTTATAAAATACGTGCACTTTTAGAACTGTGTAGGTAATGCAACCTTCTTGTTGCAGCTGATGGGGTTAATGAGACCCAAGTCACTGGCCATGGCACTAAGCATTGACCACATCTAAGCCAACAAGCGGACTGTGTTCCACACCTTGGAGAGTGTATATACTCAAACAACTGCATTCACTTGAAGCCATGCAGATTGTGATTGCTTCTATAAAGAATTAAACTGTATACCATATCACTCCGTCCAAATCCATCACTGCTATTTAAGGAAAAAATAGATAGTAGATAGATGATAGATAGATAGATAATTATATCCCTTTGTATAGGGCAACAGACTTAATTCTCCTTCTTTTTTTTGCTGTTGCTGATGCTGCTTCAACTTGGAATGTCCTTCCCTCCTATTACCACCACTGAAATCTTATATATATTTAAAGATAAACCAGGAGCCGGCCCCATGGCCAAGAGGCTCAGTTCGTGCTCTGCGCTGCAGGCGGCCCAGTGTTTCGTCGGTTTGAATCCTGGGTGCGGACATGGCACTGCTCATAGAACCACGCTGAGGTGGCGTCACACGCGCCACAACTGGAAGGACCCACAACTAGGAGTATGCAACTATGTACTGGGGGGCTTTGGGGAGAAAAAGGAAAAATATAAAATCTTAAACAAAAGAAAAAATGATAAACCAAATGCTACCTCCTCCATTAAGCTTTCCACTCTTTTACCTAAATGGAGGTAATGTCCTTCCTCTCTTGACACTACACTTTTGAGAACAAGGATCTTGTGTTTTTACCTTTAAAATCCTTGTCACATAGTTCATGTTCAAAGACTATAGGGATGATAAACGATTTTATCCCTATCCTACGCTAAAAACGAGAGAGAGACGTTATAAGATCTCATGTAGTCTTGAGTCAGAGATCCCTTATCATATCTCTATTAAAACACTTTTCAAAATATAGGCTTCTGACTCTAAAGAACAGAATGATCTCCTCTCTGATTCATGACAATTTTTAAGATGATCTAAAGGAATAATAAAAATATAAATCCATAGCAACAAAGAGAATGGCAAAGAAGACAAAAGCAGACAGAAATCCAATGGAAGAGCAGTGAGTGATTAGGCAAAGTCAGAGAAGCTACAGCTGGAATATTGAATCCTGAAATACGTGCAGTGGGAACTAGGGCCAAGGAGATGGTCATGCTTTAAGAGTATAAATCTGTACCCCTAGAGTAACGAAAAGTTAGGGAAAATTTTATGTTGGAAGGATTGTCATAATCAGATCTACGTTTTGTAAAGACAAATGAAATACTTGGAATACATGTTAAAGACACAGGTTTAATAAACTCATTATATAAAAAGTTCTTATAAATTGGTTTAAAAAAATGAAAACATTATTTGAAAAATAAGCAAAAGATATAAACAGTCAATTTACAAAAAAATTATAAATGTGCACTAAATACAAAAATGAAATTTTACCTATCAATGAAATATTTTTTAATCTATAAGACTTCATAATTAAAAATTGCTAATGTCCATGCTTTAATTCTCTGCAACCATTAAAAATTATATTGCTTAACTATTTATATTGACATGGAAGGATGTCAATGATCCATTATGAATAGGAAACACGAGTTTCAACAGAGTAGATATAATTTCAACAGAATTATGTGTTGCATAATTACATATTTTGTAATAGCTATGCATTCACACATTCACACACACATATGTGTGTATGTGTACAGAATAAAAGGCTAGAAGAAATGATAACATCACGTTATCTCTAGATGCGAAAACTACTTTTGAAATCAAACAATTACAAAGCTTTTCTCATCTTTTAAAAGATGAATGCGTATTATCATTCAAAGTGTTGAATATGCTGAGCTCCATCCTGTACTCAGCACTGTGCCAAATGGTGTGGGAGTAAGCAAGACATGTTTTCTGTCTTTAAGAGCAGCCACTCTAGTTAAGAAGCAAGAATAAATGTATTTAAAACTACTAAACCAATGCAAGCCATCGTTAATAATAAGCCAAGAAGGACACAGTATATATGCTACGTAAATTCACAGAGGGGGACGACTGTTGATTTTCAGTTAGAATTCTCAACATTCACTTATTCATTTCCCTGAAAAATGCTGAGTTCCCAATTACTATCAGCTTTTGGTAACTTCTAGAGAGACAAAATGTAAAATAGAGTCCTTGAACACAAGGATCTCAAAAGGAAGAGAGATGAGTACACAAAGAAGGACAATACATCAAAATACACACAATAACATAAGTAAGCTACAGAGTAACTTATCTGGTTGGGTGGACTATGTAATAAGAATGCTCAGCTCAGTACTTCCCTTTAACTTCTTGGGAGCAAGACTGTTAGCAGTCTCACTACCACCCCTACACACACACACACGTGAACACACACACATACCACACTAAAGGTCTGTGACTGGTGTCATGCACTACTTTCTCACAGTAACCCATGTACCCCAACTTACTCTATATTAGTAATAAGATAATTTGTCTTCCATCAGTCTCATGCTTTGTCTTAATTCTCATTTGATTCAATACTCTAGAAGGGAAAATGTAGTAGAATTGAGCAAAGCAAAAGAAGCTGACAATTATCTTCCAACCAATGGCATATTTTTATGATAATAAATAAAAGTGACTTTGCTTCACTAGAAATTGAGCTGGGATCTTTCCATGTATTATTTGACATAATCTTCACAAACATCCTAAGAGAGTATTCCCTCACTTTACAAATAAGTAAATTGGAGCTCAGAGAGTTTAAATGAGACAACTAAGAACAATAAGCAGTCAGATTAAGGTTCAAACCCAGCTCTCTCTAGCATCAAAATGATACTCCTTCTACTCAACTAAACTCAATTAAGTTTGCCGGTAACTTTTTCAAAATGTCTTCTTCTTTTTATTTATTTTGAGGAAGCTTAGCCCTGAGCTAACATCTGCTGCCAATCTTCCTCTTTTTGCTGAGGAAGACTGGCCCTGAGCTCACATCCATGCCCACCTTCCTCTACTTTATACGTGGGACACCTACCCCAGCATGGTTTGCCAAGCGGTGCCATGTCTGCACCCAGGATCCAAACCGTCGAATCCCGGGCCGCAGAAGCGGACCGTGCACACTTAATCGCTGCGCCACCAGGCTGGCCCCAACCAAGATGTCTTCTTTAACAAGCTAAATATTTTTAGGCACTTTCTTATGATAGACACTTAAGTAGTTGTTGTAAAGAGAGAGATAAATAAGTCAAAATCTCTTTATTTAATAATCTCACTTTCTAACCAATTACTCTCAGTACACTCTGTTATTTCCCTTCCTTATTGTGGGATAATATCAGCAAATAAATGAAACAGAGCTATTTGTACAGAAATGAATGAATAGAAGTAGGGCACTCTGAGTTCACCAGACAATAGCATTCTATGATTTAAGGTATTGTAATTATCATGAATAGGTGCAAAAGCTCTGTGACTCATTTAATCATGTACTTTCACTTTACTTTTCAAATGAAATCTTCCTTACTCCTATTTTGCTCACTTTGTAAATATATTCAGTTTTTAAAGAGAAATTTAATACATGGATTGCCAGTTTACTTACATGAGATCTTGCTTAAAGGGTGGTGAAACCAAAAGAGCTTGTAAACAAAGAGCACAGTTCAGTACAGAGCTGCACGGCTTCAATCCTAGACACATTTTCCTCTTGGCAGAGGGCACGCTCAAGCACACAATGCTGAGGAGCCAGGAATCCCTGGGAATTAATTGTGATTTATTATGTTGCAATTTAATCTGTAGTTTTTTGCACTCTTGGAAAGTTTTTGAAAACCCCAGATAGTAACAATGCGCTTAAAGATAAAAACAAAGCAAACTGCTTTTTCTCAATAATGTTGGAGTTTACTCTTTATCAGGTCTTATCTGCAGAGAAAATTGTCTATTAATTATTCTTTTTATACACAAGAAATCTCCAAGATTTTACAGGCTTCCCTGTTTTTCTCCATTTCATTGATGTCTAGGCACGTGCTCCAAACTTTCTTTAGATGTTTTAATTTATATTTTTCCTGTATATGTTATGTTGACATGATAAATTTTCAGTTCAGTTGCAATATAAACTTTTGATACTGAGGAACCATTATGCCTTGTGCAAGGTCACTGCATTTGGAATTTAAAACTTGAGATCAAGTTAAATCTTTTAGAATGGGCTTATAAACAGAGTGGAATAGTAAAGGGCAAAGCCGTTAGCTCAAATGGTTACTCCCAAAGGAAGGAACTTTAACCAAATGCAGATAAAACCATTTGATACGTATGGTTAAACAGAAGAACAGGGATATGAAGAAAGCCCTGAAATAGTATGCAGTGGAAATATCAACTAAGAAACCCAGTGAGTCTGCACTGAGAGCAAAAGCCCTACTAGAAAGAAGAGCAGGATGAAAGTGACAGAAACCCAAGTGCAACAAAGATAACAGCAAATAGAAGAGGAGCAGAAAAGTGTTGGATTTTGACTAAAAAATAGACAGAGAGATGGGACAGTGAATGAGATGTTTAAATGAACCAGATTTATTTAGTTTGGTTTAACCAAAGATGCTGAGGTTGTTATTAACGTGGGGGTGGTACTCAAGATAGTCCAGGCATATTCAACATACTCAGAAAAGCAAAGACTTCAGAAAGCCCTGGAATTGGTAAACTGTTTGTGTTCTGTTTGGCCTAGCGCTTTCCTCAAACCTAGATATATACAATTCTTTGCCATTTATAACTCAAATAGGTCAAACAACACCAACTGTCATAAATGACTTGATGAAATATGGGCACATCCAGGTGACACATGTCAGGATCTTAGTTAGACTAAAATTCCTCAAAGGAACTTATCAGATCCTTTATGGTCACTGATATGTGTCAGTATCACACACATGTTTAGCATATAAAAGGTTGCTCAGTGAATTCTTATTAAATTAACAAATGAAGGGAAGATGTAATAAATAAATAAAGGAATGAACATAGATTACTTTGAAATAACTATCAGAGAGGACTGCATAATAGGTTTTTTTGGTAGGAGTGAATGAGTTCATACATGTAAAGTGTTAAGGAAAGTATCTGGAAATTACTGAGTGCTCTAAATCTTAGCTATAATTATTATTTATTCATAAAGAGGTAGAGATTAGGGCCACTGGGGTTATAAAGCAAACTGGCTCTTGGAGTTGTTGGATAGGGTTTAGGAAGCAAACATTTTCTAAAGAGGGTTGGAAAACTCAGATGAATTCTAGAAGGCATTAGTGTCCTGGTGAGCATCCACCAGGTAAGACTCCACCTGGTAAAAATTCTAGAAGGCATTACTGCCAATAATGAGGCAGGTTTCTCACAAATCTTAGTTTGAGAGTTGATATCTGTGATTGTAAGTGATGAGTCCAATTTCAATAAGGATTTTGCTCTGTGGCTGGCAATATATAGAATAGACCACATTCATAAAGAACAGCACTCACAAGGGCATGGGGTACCCTAAAAGGACCTGGAATTGGAATAGGCTTCCTTGAAAAATCAGCAGAGAAAGCTTTAAAACACAGCTCTGTGCAGCAACCCAGACCGCCCTCCTGCTCACCACCTGTGCCTTGCTGCTGCCTACTCTCATCCATTCTACCCGAGGGTAGCAGAGAAGGCTTATGTTGATGTCCTCTTCCTATACACATGTGTTGAAAAACTTGTTCAGCATCTGGGTCTGCTGAGTTATGGAGGAAGAGGAGTATTTTTAACTACAAAAATATAGTCTTTCAGTGTTGGTTGATTGCATTTATTTGGAAGCAAGCTTGCAATTTTAGTGACATGTTCTCATGGTTCTTTGGTTTTGTTGTTATTCTAAGGTCCCATGTTTTTGTTTTCCCATCTAGTTGTCTTTGTTTGCCACTCATTTTTGGCCACCTTCTCTAAGGTTAAGAAAACAATGGCATTGCTGGACATCTCTTCCAGCGATAGCCTTGCGAGTATTATTTTTCAGCAGTGGAGGGAATGAACATAGCTTCAAAGAATGTATTCGCCGTCTTTCAACTGACCTATTCTTGCAGATTCCCAGCCCTCCAATCCAGGGGAAATAGCATGAATTGATTTTTAAAGCACTTTTCTACTCTTTCCCATCACACTTTACTGTCCTGTCCATAAAGAGAGAGACAAATTTACGCTTGACATTATCTTTTAAAACATCCTCTAAAAAAATCATATTTACTGCCCCATTTTATTCAATCATGAGAAATTGTCTTTTATGCTTCTTTGTAAATATATATTTTGGTCAATTTATGGGATCTCTTCAGGGTGACTATTTTTACCTTAATCACATAAAATGATGAACTGATACACTACTGATGTTGCTTTCTGCTCACTGAATAGCAATGACAGACAGCCTCATTCCCGCAGATAACGGATACCATTTGTATTTTTACAAATAATATGTGACAATGGTTTGATAGATGTGATAAAGGGCATAGAAACAAGATAATGATAAGCATTTATTTCCTAATACTATATTAAGGATCCATTAAAAAAAAATCTTCCTTCCAAACCACAACAGCCCAAAATATTTATCCATGCCCCCAAAGTAAAAACAAACAAACACATGAAAACTGGATCCACTTTGGTGAATATCTTTTACTTTTGCTACTTACATTAAAAATCCAATTTTTAGTAACGTGTTACTCTTGTGTTATCACGAACAAGTGACTCCGTATAGATAGCACAATAATGAGAATTAAAAGGGTAAAGTGTAATAGTACATATCAAATGGAGAGGTGTATTGCAACTTCAGAGAGATTGGTATGTTTCATTGGAGCAGCTTTATTTTTTAACAGCACTTTATTAATATTTGTTTATAAAAAGACCAGCCAAAAATTGGAAAGATATTTGCAACATGTAAACTTCATAAAATATTAGTATCTGTTATATTAAAGAATTCATAAGAAAATGATAAATAATACAATTAAAGAAAACACCTAAATAGTTATCTAATATAAAAGGAAATATTAATAGAAAATAAAAATCTTAAAAAGGACTCGACCTCGTGAGAAACATGGAAATGAAGGTTAAGACTGCAAGGAGACACCTGTGACACCTAGTAGATTGGTAAACCATTTCGACAAAATCAAGTATCTATAAGTCTGGAGGAAGAGGAATGCCGCTCGTAAAAGTATAATTTGTTTAAACAACTTTGGAAAACATTTGGCATAATTTGTCACTATCACATCTGCTATAAGCAGTGATTTCTCTTCTATGCATATATTCTAGAGAAATTTTTGAATTTTGAATTAGTAGACAATCACTGGAATGTTTTTAATAGTATTATTCAAGAATAGCAAAATCTTAGAATCGATCTAAATATCTATCAAAAGGAAATTGGAGGGATAAGTTGGGATAGGTTCATACGATAAAACCGTCCGTGCAGATACGAGATTAATGAACTAGAGTTTTATTCATCAACGTGGATGAATTTTGGAGGGTGGTAAGCTGAGTTCATACAAAGCATGTCACAAAAAGCTATACTTATTGCGATATCATTTTGATGAAGTTCAAAAACTGCCAATACTGAAAAATAGGTTGTTTAGTGATATCCTACATATGAGATTAAAATCTGTAAGCAAGCATATGATAAACTAAAAATTCAGAATAAGAGTCATCTCTGTGAAAGAGGGAGATGCGTTGAAGGAGGTGTGTACAGGGAACTAAATAATATTGGTTTGATCTGTTCCTTAAGTAGAAAGTTAGAACCACATCTATTTGTTTTCATTGCTATACTTCATAACTTACATATAAAGTTCATATATACACAAATTATTACATAACAATTTATTTTATAACCATATGCATATATAAAAGGTTCTTATATATATATCAAATATTACATAATAATATTTTATTGTTTTAAAAAAGGGGAGTATGGTAGCTTGTTTTAGCAAGTGGATTGCTCATATATGTTCTGAACATAGGAAAAAATTAATCCAGGCTTCAAAATTCAAGGAACAAATAATCAGCTTATGAGATATTAAGAACTGATAGATTTGCACTCATTGAAGGCCTTCAAAGATTAGAAAAATTTTATTCTTCCCTGATTATGCTCCATGGACAGTCAAGTCACAGAACTTGCCAAGCTCACAAATCCCTTCTATGAAGTTCCTTTGGTACCTGCCTCCAGGCTGATCTGGTGCATGTGAGCTGACCACCTGGCACAACTTTGGACCACAAGAGAGGGTGGAGGGGGAAAGGGAGGTGCTAAATTCCATGTCATACAGAGGCCTGAGAGGTGGTCACTAATAGTAGGAACACCCAAATCAATCATATGTTCTCTGTAATGGAGTGAGGAGATACATCTCAATAACGGCCAAGAGAAATTATTGCATTTCAACTGCTGAGCAGACAGGGCTGATCATCCAGTTGCTAGAGTTGATTTGGACCTGGATCGACATTTCCATGGCTAAACCGCCTTCCAGTCTCTGAAAGTCCCAGCTATATCGCTGAGTTTATTTCAGCAGGGCTTAGCTGCCCATCCAAGATCACTGTCTTCCTACCATTCACATTTATATTTAGAGGAAACACATTATTTGAGATAGAAAGACTCTAAGAAGTGATATTGCTATAACTTCATCAATATTCACAATAATGCTTCATAATACATGTGAACATACCATTTAGTTTCTTTCTCCAATACATGCGTATATATTGCCATATATGTGGTTTTCTGTGTATTCATACATAA